TTTTTTAAACCTTTTTTTAAACTCTTATTCAGAAACCCTTACAGGGAAAATTGGTCACAGCGTCAATGTTTTCTGGCGTTCTTGCTCTTCTGGGACGGCCTGTGACTGAAAGGCGTTCAGGACTGCCAGTTTCACGCAGTTTTCGCAAGATATAACGCACAGTCGTTTTTTTTTTCATTTTCGATCGGGATATTCACGCAAGATTTGGTTTAAGGTAAATCCTTTTCCTTCACGAAACGACCGGATTAAAACTCTATCACTCTCAGTTACAACACGGTTTGTACCCATTTTCCCGGTAAAGGTTTCTGAATAAGAGTAAAAAAAAATGTAAATTAAAAAAAATTAACACTGCAAAGACGAGCACTCAGCACAACGCGTGGAGTGGACTACCGGAAGTCGTTTAACTTTTGTCACGAACTTCTGCTGCTCGGTTACCCAAATCAAGCATCAAAGTCTTCAAATTTTCATCCTTCACATTATGAAGAAGGGAATAAAGGTAGGGAGCAATTATGAAAGAAGAAAACGACGGCGCGCACGACCTTGAAGCCAGCTGCTGAGGACGATTTCCGTGGACGGCACGGTATAGGTTCGTTTTGGCAACTTTTTTTTTCGGTAAGTTTTTTTCCAAACGGCCATGACTCATCTCCAAATGAATGTAGGAACCTAAAACCATACATTTTCAAAAAGAGGATGAAATGAACTTTCTTTTAGTTTTTTTTTCGACTCTGTAGCCCAAACCGTTCAGGAGATATTCACATTTTTAAACAGCGGCAAAAACTTTTGGCCCACCCTGTATATGTAATTTACCATGGACCCCACGGACCCCCTCGACCATTAACAGTTAATGAGGCACATGTGACGGGAAAGCAAATATCATTGCAAAAAATTGTCAATCTAAAACACACGCATATAGTGTGATGTTATGTCTCATTTACTTTGACAAACGTCCTTTCAATGCAGCACAGATGTACTAGGCCGTAACCGAACCATATACCAACTCCACCACTCCTGGGAATAAAGAAGCTGTGCAATTTTTAATAGCACACGGTCTCTAATATGGGATTTAAAAGTGACATGGAAGAAGAACTTTTGCAAATTTAATATTTTGAAAAGGCACTTGAAAGTTGATAATTTATCGCTCTTACTGCTAAATTTATACTATTATGCAGAATGTATGGAACTCTCCCATATTCACTCCGTTGCCACAGGGTCTTTCAAGTTTAAATATCTAAGCCTGTACTCCCTCCGGAAAGTAGGAATGCTACTGTAAAAGAGAAAAATTACTATTGCTAGCTGTCTGGAGTGATTCCTTGGGAATGTGGAGAACCATATCGTCGAAGAAATGCGGGAAGGAGGAGCGTTCAGCCCAGGCATTCTTGAATTCCATTTCCTTTTTCTTCTCTTTTCCCTTTTCCATGTCCTTTCCGCTTCCAACCTTTTCCAAAATCAATGACGAGAACATTTTACGTACATACAATGAAGCTGCTCCTGGCCTGAAATGACCATTAGTTTTTCAATTGCATGTAATTAAGAATATGAACCATGAAGGTATCGATGATGCGAGGCCACCCATTAGCAAATATGCCCACTTGGAATTTTAATCTCTTTCTGTTTCAGGAGGAAGGTAAATGGACATTTCTTTATACATTCATTTTTCCTTTAAATCAATGAAATGATGGACAGACATCTTAACGAAAGCATACGATGAGGAAAATCATTAGAAAAAAACATTCAAAGTTATTACGAAATATTATGATATAAAAATGCTCATGATTCAAGAGACCATCATTGGTCATCGAAGGATTTCGAGAATTGGACAATGTGATATTTGGTAATCTCACCATCCATAACTAGGCAGCCATTAAACGTATACTTCAATTCAAAGAACCCGAAAGTTTTGGTGGTGGCTGTCACTCCAACGTGTGAGGCCTACAAGGCTATCCCATCCTAGGCCTTGGGCTAGGATGGGATAGCCTTGCTATCCTAGCTTCGCTCCGACCTTAAATTGTTGAAATGCATAAGACAGCTTCATCATATTGTTTCTGCGTGAATATATAATTATAATCAGTGAAACGCCACATCACAATGAGATGAAACACGAGAAGAATTTCCTGCGTGAAAAAGGTCTGGTTCCCTTTCAGATGGCGACGTGAATGGGTGCGGCCGACTTCTGGGCATGAAACATGGATTCTTCAAGATAATATCCTGCTCCAATAGTTCGGGAAGGTAAGAATATAAGATTTGAGCGAAGTCGGTGATATATTCTTGAGTAAAGTCGAAATCTCGTTTTCCCTTTCCTCTATGAAGACCGTCCGGAATTAAAATGGTTGGTTCGGGATTAATTGGCGTTGATGCACTTTTCTGGTCTCGCGACTTTCGTTGCATCGATTCACTGGGATATTTTGTCAGGTCATGTATGTTCTTCTCGCAGGATACAATTCGGCAATCCCCTTGGGAGAATCAGGGGGAAGAACAACACGGAATGCATCCGACGCGGAAAATATGCGGTCGGAAGCGTGGTGAGATACGCCTGCAATCAGTATTACGTTCTCAGGGGATCGCACGTTCGAACCTGTACGAAGACCGGGCAATGGACGGGACCCGCTCCATTCTGCGAGCCAGGTCTGTTTCTATACAATAACCTCTTATAAGACCCGTTTGAGGAGCATCATGGTTTAACACTGACCTGGCATTCCCAGAATGCGGGCGGAAGGGGAAGCCGGTGAAGCTTTCGGCCGGCGGGAAGCCGTCAGACACCGGGGAGTGGCCGTGGCAGGTGGCCCTCTATGATGTCGCGAAGCGGGAGCTCGTCTGCGGAGGGGCTCTCATCCGCGAGAAGTGGGTGCTGACTGCAGCGCATTGCGTCACTGTCGATGGGTCTCCGAGATAAAGGGACCATCAAGACTTCCAGGTCTATTTAGGGAAGCACTACAGAAATAACTCGAAGGACGATGAATTCGTACAGCTTAGAGAAGTAAAAAAAAAACCGGCTCTCATATTGTCATGCAATTTGCCTTAGTTGCAAGAATAATTGAAACTCATGTACCATTTGTAGGTGTCTCAGGTACTAATTCACGAGGACTTCAGCTTGCAAAACTATGACTCAGATATTGCTCTTTTGCAATTGAGCGAACCTGGCTGGTTGACTTCTCGAGTCCAGTTGGTATGCCTCCCGACCCTGTCTGACGTGAATCTGGAAGAAGGAATGCGAGGATGGGTGAGAGAAGGCGTTCCGAGTACGTTTCCCTTACGAAACGTCCACCTGCATCCATCCGGCTGCACAACCGGGCCGATAGGGGGTGGATTTGGAAATAGGAGGACGTTTTGTAAGGTTTTCCCAGGTTAATTTCGGGCTTAAGCTTTTCCAAAGACCAAATGGCAGGTGACGAGTTGGGGTTTCAACGGCTCGGATCTCCTCACGGCCACCTTGACCGAAGTGGAACTGCCGGTGATATCCAACGTGCATTGTCGTCGGGACACCATTCGTCTCACGGGGGACCACACTGTCACTCGGACGCTCACGTCCAACATGTTCTGTGCTGGGCACGACGAGGATACTCCGTTGGAAAGTACAGTTAAAACCCCGTTATTTCACGCCGAATCCCGACGTCCGTGATGCGGTCGTTGCAAAATTTAGCCTCGGAATTCGTTGCATATAGTACCAGACGGTGTGTCGAGGGGATTCAGGGAGTCCCATGGTCTTCCCTTCCCATGCCTCTCCGGGAAGACCCTGGCAAGTCGAAGGGATCGTGAGCCACTTCTTCGATGGGGATAAATGCTCCTCGAGGCGTCCCGGTCATTACAGCATTTTCACCAAAGTCAATCGGTGAGATTCCTCAACTCTCTCCCTCAATCTAAAGACATTATGTACACCTTAATTTATTTTCACCCCTAACAGGTTCATTCGATGGATCGAGCGAAAGATGTGGGAGAATCCCTCATGAGGCAACCAACGACTTCCATGAAATTTAAATCTCTGGGATTTGAATATTTTTTGTGACATGAGTGCCAGGACAAAAAATACTTTCAATAGCATTGATCAATGAGCGCCGAACTCTCGCAGGAAACAACAGTACAATTAACACGTTGGCGACAATGCGTCCTGATGCCAGGATGCAGATTTTTTTTTCAATGAATACCCTCTGGAACTGTTGATAACGTTCCAGAAGATTATGATTTCGTAATTACTGATAAAAATTCCAAAATCGCGGCGGACAAGCAAAAATAGGCTGGTCGTCAACGTGTTAAATTAATTAGGGATCAAATGAATATACATTCCATTAGTTTGTTTCATTATACCGTTATTTCATTATTTTGCGCTCCCCAAGGAAGCAAAATGCATCGCTGAAAGGAACGATCTCTTCAGTCGTATTGGTTATAATTGATAAGATGCCCCCAAAAACTTAATTTTTGGCGATGGAAGAGCCATAAAAGTCAGCTTCCAAAATCAATCTCATCTTAATGCAAGTAGGACATAGACCTGATCGTACATGTCAACTCCCAAGTCCGAAGCATACGGAAGCAACACCTTATTCAGAATCAAAATTCCTTTCGTGGACTGACAAAAGAGCTTTTTTCAAGGGCATAATTCCCTTTCTCATGGGCGGACGCTTCTCCAGAGGTAGGGAATGGGAATGCCTGTTTATCGGATGAATCGCTTCGCTTAAAATGCATCATATCGTTTTGGGAAAATAGTAATTGGAGATCGCGGCGTGAAATCAGGGCTCAGTATTACATTATGTGATTTCCACGAAATAGGGAAAATCTAAAGATTGCAGGCTAATTTTTGCAGAGGTGCTACTGTAGAATATTATTGAATGTACCTATACATCTCCTTCCCATGTCAGCTGACGTTCTATCAATGCTGACTATTATAATGTTGCATCCTGAACGACGATGAATGACGAGTCGGGTCGTCAACAAGGTCACGGTTGAAATAATCTCCAAATCCAAGATAATTTGATGAATCCCGTCCCACTCATCGTTAGGAAATTTTTGTCTATTATTCGCATCCCATGAATCGTCTTCAAATTCACTATTAACATTTTAAATTGAAATTCTTGCAATTATTTTTATGCACATGCGCCACCAACGAAAACACATATCTCGCTTTCAAATACGGTACATTTTCAGGTGTCTGCACAGTCCTCTGCCTATGTTGCTGTCATGCTCAAAAGCCAAGAGTATTGCTAAACTAAACCAGGGTCGTTTACCGGCAACGCGTAGCGCTCAAGTTGCATCGATTGGATGAAGGTTCAGTACTTCATACACTGCGAATTCAAGGTCGCGCGCCAGTGAGAGTCAACGAACGAAAGTGAAAAGGAGATGTGGGAATGTGGGAATGAGAGAAAACAGGAGGAGTTGAGAGGAGTTGTATCGTCCAGAACACCCAGAAACGTATATGAAAAAAAGGAGAACGGAATTCCTTTGGAAAAGTAAGTTTGTCCCCTTCGAAACCTCAGGTCTTGAGAGATTCTTGAGGAATTAGCATGAAGACGGTACGCTCAGAGAAATCGGTGAATCGAAATAATACACTTCTGTCAAATTTCGCATTATGATGAATCCTTTGGAAAATTCAATGCGAAAAGGCATCACCTGCAATTTCGATTCAACTCAGTCTCTTCCCGACTGAGCCGGATCGTCTGAAAGGCGTCTGCGAAACCGAAACGCGTCTATAGTGGAGACGAGAAGCGTGGTTTGAGCGGCCTAGCATGCTCTAGATGCTGTCCACCGCCGTCTTCCACATCATTGTGATGAAGAAGTTCACTTTTTTAAGCCCTCGGGGAAATGCATTCACTGTTGAGGCATCGACACTTGAGCACGTGGTCGTGCATGAGTCTCTTTGCCCTACGACTTTCCCCGAGGCCCGTGAGAGTAGCTCGTGCGTCTTGAAGGGATTCCAATGGGATCGGTTACTCCATTTTTCGCGTCTACAGTGTGGCCAGAAAGTTTCTCCCCGTGGTTTCTTCAAAATAAGACTAGAAATACAGCATATTGACAAAATATAATTGGCAGGTTTCATTAGGTACACAATATACAGGGTGTTAAGAAAGTTGTGTCCCACTGCAATATGCCAATAACCTCAGCAAAAATTTAAAAATCAGGAAATTTAAAAAATACACATTAACAAAGACAGTTAACTGATTTAGAATCACTTAATAGTTTTAAATATAGCCGCCCTTGGCACGGATGACAAGGTTCAGACCACCCATGAAAGCATTGACTGATTTTCGCCAGACTTCCTGTGGAATTCGCTACGATTCTTGGTTCAGGGATAGCTTGAGAGAACCCAAAGAACAGTGCTTTGTAGCACACAATTTGCTCTCCAAGATGGACCAAATTGGAAAATTTAGGGTGTTCACATTGGGGTAGTAAGGGGACCATTATGAAATCGAAATGAAGTCGGGGACATTCGTCCACAGTCACTCCTGGGTCATCCGTGCCTTGTGAGCTGGCCCTGAGTCCTGCTGGAGTCTTCCATCGAAATATTTTGTGGCTCACGGAACCAGGCAATCTTCCAGGATGCTTTTCCGGTAAACATCAGCGTTGACCTTCATCTTCTCAGTGTCGAAAACGAGCGGAGTGCGGTAGTCCTGGCCCAGACCATTACAGAAGCTGCCCCTTGATACTGAGGGCCTTGAAAAAAATCAGATTTAGATTTTTCAATATGGTCCATCTTGGAGAGCAAAAAATAAGCTACAAAATGCCATTCCTTGGATTCTCTCAAGCTATCCCTGAAAAGAGAATGGGGAGAGAATTACACAGGAAGACTTGCGAAAATCAGTCGATGCTTTCATGGGTCATCTGAACCTTGTCATTTGCACCAAGGGTGGCTATATTGAAAACTACTAAGTGATTCTAAATCAGTTAACTGTCCTTTTTGTTGTGTATTAAAAAAGTCCTGATTTTCACATTTTTGCTGAGGTTATAAGCATATTGTGATGGGACACAACTTTCGTAACACCCTGTACTTTCAACAAGAAAGGATTCACTATTTTGCGTGCCTGCAACCATTTTTCAGGCATGCGTCAAGTCGTCTACCAAAAGAGTCAGGCTTACGCGGCCGCCTCCTCCTGGTTCATGCTGTCCCATTCCTCCTTTACGCGGGTGATTAACTGATCTCTAGTGCATGGTATGGGTTTCCTGAACACACTATCTTGCAAGCTAGCCCACAGATGTTCGATTGGGTTGAGGTCAGGCGAATTTCCAGGCCAGTCTTAGAAACATGTCAATTGATGAAATTTTGACTTTTGATGTATGAGCCATAGAACCACCTTGCATGAGGATAACTGTTTCACGCTGAGGGAACTGCAGACGATTCGATTGGAGACGAAAGTGTGTGGAAGTGCCTGGAAATTCGCAAGTGCGAATCTGCGGGCTAGATTGCAAGATACGAGGTCTGACCATAAAATAACGAAACTGACAACATTGTAATGCGTGTGGCAAGACTGGGTTACCGCGATTGCTGTAACCTGTCAGTGCATGTCTTAAGTCTCTGCAGTAACAAACTTGTCATGATACTTCCACCGATTGCAGAGCAGTACCACTTTACCTACGGTAGTGTTAGGGGCACTCGTCAAAAAATGGGTGATAATATTATTAACAAAGAATCAACGCGAAAGTTCGCATTAAACTCGGAAAAAAAACCAACTGAAGTCTTTGAAATGTTGTACTTTCCATTAAAATCTATCGTACTGTCTCTCTGTTTATACACAGTTCTTCGACAATCATTCTGACAATAAGACGACGATCACTTCGCACCAGAGGTCTTATATTTTCGATGTTTCCGATTTTGAAGCTTTCGGACGTTCAGGTCGACTGTCAAACTCAACTTCTTCCCTTCCTTCAGAAAATCGTAGACAACATTCAAAGACATTTTGCTCTGGACATAACCTCATCTCCGTACACTTGTTTCAACATTTCAAAGACTTCAGTTGGTTTTTTTTCCCCGAGTTTGATTAGAAATTTTGCGTTGATTCTTTGTTCATAATATGATTACCCATTTTTTGACGCATGCCTCTAACACTACCTTAGGAAAAATGGTACTGCTCTGCAATCACTGGAAGCATCACAACAAGTTTGTTGCTGCAGACTTAAGACACGCACTGAGAGGTTACAGCAATCGCCGGTAACCCAATGATGCCACACGCATTACAGTGTTGTCAGTCTCGTTATTTTATTGTCAGACCTCGTAGTGTGTTCAAGGAACCCACACCACCGACTAGAGATCAGTTAGTCACCCGCGTAAAGGAGGAATGGGACAGCATGAACCAGGAGGAGGCGGCTGCTTTAGCTGACTCTTGTTATACGCCTTGAAGCTTGCCTGAAAAATGGTGGCAGACACGCAAAATATTAAATCCTTTCATGTTGAAAGTATATTATGTACCTAATGAAACTTGCCAATTATATTTTGTCAATATGCTGTATTTCTAGTTTATTTCGAAAAAAAAAGATTGGGAGAAACATTCTGGCCACCCTGTAGTTCCATGTGGTGTTTGTATTTAGTTTCGTGTATAGCTGGTGTAATGTCCATCACTATGAGACTAAAATTCTTAACTTTAAAGCTCGATATTCCGACAATAGGTTCAGCTGACGCTGAAGCTTTCGTATTCGTTGCTCATCGCCTTGAATCGAATGGTGCTTCAACACCTTTCTCTCAACCTTAATCACCTCTCCTTATAGGATATTCGCCTTCGCATATTTATGCTTGAGTGTCTTAATAATAATAAATATTTGAGTATTCTCCATGGCCTTTGTGTCAAGTCACGCGAAGAAACGAAAATTACCTTTCCTAGAGTGCGAAAAGCAGATGAACTTTTTTAAAAGTATATTTCAGTGCAAGCATCATTTTCCCTTGACCCGCAGTAACTAGGGTATTTCGGAAATGCCAAAGTCAAGGGAAATATACTGATTGAAACTTGTGCTCTTTCCGTTGGCGACCTATATATCTGTTCTAACGAGCGAAATCCCATTTTCTTCGGATTGAATTCCAACCCTCCCTCCCACGGGAGGATTGAAGGAAGGGTATGGTTTGGAAAACGAGGCAGAAATGCATCACGTGCGGGACAAATTTCGATCCGGCTGAACTACATCAAGAAATCAATGGGCGCGGTAGCGCCCATTACCTTTCTTCAACCCCTTCGGGCCGCAAAATTCTCTGAAAGAATCGACGTGAATGAAATTTTCCGTACTTCTTCTCTCAACA